ATGTGTTTTGGGACTGGTTGGTATGATTGGTTGGGGTTTCGGGGGCCTCGGGTGGATTTCGAATGGTTAACAGATCAATTTTTTTAAATTGAAAGAGGAAGTGCAATAGCTGTCTTCTGGTGTAACCGCATCTGCGAGGCTTGGGCCACAAGTGCGGGGCCGCAGAAGTGTCCAGGAGAGCCGCAAATGCGATTTTGGGCTGAAAGTGTAAGGACCGAAGATGCAGTCATCTCGCCGCAGAAGCGGGACCGTACCTGCAGGAATTGAGGCGCAGAAGTGGAAAGAGGAGCCCGGAGAGAAACCGCAGGAGCGGTAGAGGAGCCGCACCTGCGGAACCGCAGAAGCGATTGTGTGACCGCAGGTGCGGAATTGCTGGAGGCAGTAAGGTTCTTTTAAATCGGGAGTTGGGTTCATTTCAACCCCATTTCTTCCATTGGAGCCGATTTTGGAGCAACTTTGAGGTTCCATTTTCACCACCAAGCATGAGGTAAGTGGTTTATGCTAGTTTTGAATTAAATACATGATTGTATATGGATTTGAGCATGAAAATTTGTGGAAAACTTGAGGTTTGAGGGAAAACCTAGAAAATTGGTATTCTTGGATTTTGACCACAATTTTGGGCATGAAATTAAGAGTAAATTACATATTTGAGTTCGTGAGGTTATGGGTAAACTTTATCTTCGAAAAATTTCGAAATCCGGGCACGTGGCCCGATGGCGATTTTGTCAACTTTTCGATCGGGATTCAAAATTTTTATAAATCGGATTGTAATGAGTAATTGAACATATACTAATGGATTTGCATAATTATTGGCTAGTTTTGGAGCATTTAACATCGATTCGAGTCTCCGGAAGGGCGTGGAATGTCGGTTGTGGATCTTTGGAGCGAGACGAGTCTCCTTTCTAACCTTGTAAGAGGAAACTATCCCCATAGGTGAAATAATTGGTTATGTGCTTCTATTTGTGGGGGCTACATACGCACGAGGTGACGAGAGTCCGTGCGTAGCTACTATTATATGTAAGTCCGGGTAGTCTAGGATCCAAAAATATGCTATACTTGAAATATCCATAATTTTGTTGGCAGTTGAATTGCTTAAATCTTATCAAATTGGTAAATGAATTTCTAAAAGGATTAAACTTCATTTCTTAAATGTCTAAAAGAGAATAGGCTTTTATTTGGATAAACGTTCCCCGATAAATTCTTAATTTGCTGTTTGAGCATGTATTTCTATGTGTACCTACGTCGCATGTATGATTCGCGAGCAGGGTATTTGTTTATTTATGTTGACTCCATCGCATGTATGATTCGCGAGCGGGGTAATAGATGTATCTATGGTTCGGACCATTCGACCCTCGGCGGTGCACATTTTACATTTATGTTGGATCAGGCCGTACGACCTTGGCATGATATGCGCATGCTTGGATTGTTGCTTGAGATTTATAAATGTTGATAATTGCCCTTCCTGGCCAGTGATAAATTGATAAAGATAATAAAAAGTAAATCCTTAGAAATCCTTTATTATTTGAGAAGTTGTTTACCTGCTATCCGGCTTTATGAGTTTATAATTGCTTTATAAAATCCATGATCACCTCCCATTTTTACAGATATTATTATTGGACCACTAGTAAGTGTCGAAGTCGACCTCTCGTCTCTACTTCTTCTAGATTAGACGGGATATTCATTGGGTACACATTGTTTTCGTACTCATACTACACTTGCTATGCATTTTTGTTGCACAGGCACCTGCATCTCTAGTGGCCTAGTGGGCGTAGCAGCATGGTTAATACGGAGACTTAGGTGAGTTGCACTTCTTGAGACGACCCGCAGCTAGCAGAGTCTCTTTCAGATTATTGTGATTACTTTCTGTCCAATATTGTATTCCGGACGGTTGTTGTATTACATTATTTCCTAGAAATTGCTCATGTACTTGTGACACCGGGTTCTGGGATGATTATGAGGTATTCTATATTTACTTCCAACATTCTTTTATTTATTTTTCTGCAAAGATTATCTTTTACTAGCTGAATTGAAGGAAATTTTCAATTTTCAAAATTATTAAGATAAGAATTAAATCAAGCATTTATGGTCGGCTTGCCTGACAGCGGTGTCTGGTGCCATCACGACCTGGATGTTGGAATTTGGGTCGTGACAGTCATTCTTTGTAAGCATAAGGTACTCAGTTGCTTTTGAGATTGTGTTATTGACATTGATGTGCTCTTTCTTTTTATTGAACACATCGTTGTTTCTTGTTAGCCAATTATGCCACAGACAAAGGGGAATGAGGTTGTCCCAACAGATGTAGTTGTTGTAAGGGACAATTTTGAGAGAGTTCCATGTTGATATCCACTGGTGGCTATTGAAGACTGGGTGATTATTTGAACTATTTTCTGTGGATTTGGATAGAATGTCATTCCAGAAATGGACAGCATTGGGACATTCAAAGAAAATATGGGCAACGTCTTCCTGGTCATTGTTACAGTAGTGGCATTAGGGGACACAATTGATTCTAATAGAGTGGAGGAAGCTCCTAGTTGGAAGTCTCATATGGGTTAGGTGCCAGATAAAGTATTTGATTTTGTTGGGGGCTTGAAGCTTCCAGAACCATTTAAAGGGGGCTTCTTCCCCAAAACAGAGACTGGTTGTAGTCCTGCTTAGGAAGGAGTAAGCAGAGCTATTTGAGAACTGGTCATTAGGAGTCAAATCCCATATAAGATTATCATCCTTAGTTGTAACAGGGGGAATGAACACAGAGTTCAATAGGTTCAGAATACTTGGGGGAATGTTAATGGACAAGGTTGATGTGTCCCAATTGCCCAGGTTGTGGATTGAGCTAACCTTGGCCTCAAGGTCATTTTGGGTTAATGGTCCTTCTATCATATGTCTGATTGCTGGCTGATTAGGGATCCAAGTGTCATTCAAGAAACTGACCCTATTTTCTTTGTTGACTATCCATCTGCTTGCTTTGTTGCATATCTCTCAGCCCTTTAGAATACCATTCCAGGTTGGAGATTTTGGGTGTTTAGGGTGTCTAAATGATGTAACTGGTCTAGACATGTTGCAATGTTTGTGAATGAGCACTCTAACCCAAAGACTATTGGTATTCTTATATGTTATCCATGCCAGATTTGTGAGTAAAGCTTTGTTCTCGATACTAGCCTTTTGGAGCCCTAGCCTTCCCTCAGCCTTGGTCTTAGTGACTACCTCCCACTTGATCAGGTGCAACTTCTTCCTTTCAGGGGTGGTGCCCCAAAGGAAGTTTCTCTGAATTCTATCAATCTGATTGGTGATTTTGGTGGGTAGATTTATGTATTGCATAACATGACTTGGAATGCTGTTCAAAGAGGTTTTGGCCAGGACTGTTCTCCCAGCCATGTTGAGGCATTTAGTTTTCCACCAGCCATCTTGGATTGCATGTTGTCAATAATGAATTGGAAGTCTGCAGCTGATTGTTTTTTTGTGGAGAATGGGAAATCCTGGGTATTTTTCAAAGGATGTTGTGTGCCCGATGGACAAATAATTGGTGAGGTGCTGTATGACATCTTGAGTGATGTTTGAAGAAACAGGACTCTTGATTTAGTGAGATATATCTTTTGTCCTGACTGCTCATTGAAGTTCTACAATATTGAAAGAATGGTATTGCAGTTCCTGTCATTGGCTTTAGCAAAGAGGGTGAGGTCATCCGCAAAGAATATGTGGGATATTTTTGTTCCAGACCTACTTATACTTATGGGGTGCCATTGGTTATGTAGTACTGCCTTATCAATGGATCTTGATAGTCTTTCCATGTACGCAATGAATAGGTAGGGAGACACAGCGTCGCCCTGCCTAATGCCTCTTGATGGTTTGAAAGACTCTATTTTTTCCCATTGACAAGAATGGAAATGGAGGATGTACTAATGCATGACATGATAAGTTTGGACAAACCCTGGGGGAAGTTGAAAGCAGCTAGAGTGTCTCTAACAAAGGACCATTTCATCCTGTCAAAAGCCTTCTCTAGGTCTATTTTTAGGATCATGTTGCCACTCTTCCCCCTCATTTTCCTGAAGTGAGTGATATACTCTTGGACAATGATAGCATTGTCATAGGCTCTCCTATTAGAGAGAAAGCTTGCTTGGCTTGGCCCAATGATGTGGGGTAGAATAGACTTTATCCTGTTCACAATGATTTTTGTGACTGACTTGTCGATGGTATTACAAAGTCTAATGGGCCTGAAGTTCTTTAGCATTGAAGCTTGGGGGAATTTAAGCTTTAGGCACAGTAGAGTTTGGTTCATGGTGCTATCCATAGAGCTTGTGGAGAAGCATTTTTGGCAAAAGTTTGTGACATAGTCCCCTACTATATCCCAATACTTTTGGTAGAAGAAGGGGTGAAGGCCATCCGGGCCAGGAGATTTGAAGGGTTCATGGGAGAAGAATGCCCTTTTAATCTCACTCACATGAAGAGGTTTGTCCATAAAAGCTCTTTGGCTTTGGGACAGAATGAGTTCCATGGTGGAGTGGTCTGTGGCATCCCAAGGGGCTTCAGTGTGGGAAGTTGTGTATAGATCAGTAAAGAAGCCCACAATAGCTGAATGGATGTCCTTTTGGTCATGAAGCCAATTTTCATTCTCTTCTTTAAGGGAGAGGATTTTGTTCCTCCTTCTTCTATTGAGGGTGGATGTGTGAAAGAATCTAGTGCTAGCATCACCCTCATTTAGCCAGTTGATTCTAGACTTAAGTTTCCAAAAGTCTTCTTCACTTTTGAGGATTAGGTTGAATTCAGCATTTAGCTCTGTTTCAAGGTGTAACAGGTAACTACTGAATTGGTAGCTAGGAGACTTTTGGATTCCATAGATTCTTGCCAAGAGTCTCTTCTTTTGATGGAAGATGCTTATAGAGATGTCCTAGTTCCACTTGGTTACCAGAGTCTTGAAGCTTTTAGTGGATTGAAGAAGGGTGGAATGGTCAGAGAAGGCCCTATTGATGATGTTGGGGAAGGAAGGGTGGCTAGCTCACATTGACTTAAAACCTGAAGGGCCTTGATGGTTTGTTGTTTGGAGGCCCTACCAAGTTAATTTGCAAAGGGCAGTGGTCTGAGTGGGTCCTAGGGAGGTGAAGTACAGTAGCTTCAGGGTACTGCTCAATCCAGCCTTCATTTGCGAAGCTCCTATCTATTCTTTCCAGAATTAGAGAGGTTTTGTTACTATACCTTTTATTAGTCCAAGTGTATTTGCTTCCTTTATAGCCTAGGTCTATTAGGTTACACTCATTTATACAGTTCCAAAACAGGTTGTTGCGGCTCAGGTTTATGGGGTTACCCCCAAATTTGTCCCTGGCCTTTAGGACTTCGTTGAAGTCTCCTCCTATAAACCAATTTGTTTTTATGTTTTTTGATATTGTGATTAGGTACTCCCATAGGAATTTCCTATTTTCTAAGAGATTACTAGCATAAATAGCAGAGAAAAGCCATGGAGGGTGGTCTGGACTTACCTTCACCATTGCATGGATGCCTTGGGGGGTAGTTTCCACTTTTTCAACAGCCACGAACTCCTTTTTCCACATAAACACAATACCCCCAGATGGGCCTACTGCTAGAAACTGGATGATCATATCGAACTGAAGTTGCTGGGCTAGGGACTGGTGGTCTGCCATCTTCGTTTCAATCAATACAAGCATGGCAGGCTTGTGCATTTTCACCATTTCTAAACAGTGTTGTTTGAACTCGGCATTGTTTCCACCCCTAATATTCCATATGATGTAGTTCAACATTAGAGTTGTGGGTGATTGGTGAGTTCCCTCTTGAGGGCTCTTTGGTCCTTGCAGACCCAACATTTGAGGTAGGGGTGACTTCCTCTTGAGACTCAGGACTTGAGTTAGGTTGAGAAGGGGTTTCATCAGACCGTATGTTTGGGCTGAGACTAGGCTCATTTTACATTTGGTCATTGTTCTGGGGAATAGCACCACTACTATCTCACTGGTATCCGTGCTGAACTCTATCGATATCACTGAGTCCAGGAGAAATGAGTCCGTTCTTGGTATGGCATAGGGTATTTCCCGTTCTTCTGAGGCATTCTTCTTCTTGAGTATCTCCAGGGCTTTGGAGATTCCTTTCTGGATATTCTAAAGAGGTAGAGAATTGCTCTTCCCTTTTGGAGCAGAAGATGATGGGTTGTTTTGGGTTGGCTGGTCGATCGTGACGAAGACCGGCTCCGCTGCTGGGTCCTCTTTTATCAGATCTGGGAAGAAATGTAGGGTTTGGAAGCTCTATAGAATGTGATTGTTGAGAGATTGAGGGTCCGTTAATGGGGAGTTGTTGTCGTTGTTGACCAACGATTGCCATAAGAGAGGTCGAAAGGCTGCCAGTGCTTTGCTTAGTGCTTCCACCGTGACCCTGGCTAGGTGGGATGGGTTTTGCACTATTGGGGTCACCCTCTGATTGGCCAAGGTGAAATTGTAGGAGAGTCCCTACCCTTGCAAAGCAACCTCCAACCAGGAGGCCGGATGGTGGTCCGGTGGTGTTGGTAGGGAGGTGATAATGGTCTGTTGCATTTCTTTTGCCATTTTTTTGTTTCTTTGTCTTGCTACTTTGGGTAACAAGGGGGTGAAGTTAAGGGACTGTCATCCCATCAGAAAACCTTTTGGTGTCACATCTTGGACAGTTGAAGGATTTCTGGGCATCAGAACTAGGGGTGGGATGGTCATTAATTGGGGATCTAATGGAGGTGACGGTTGTAGTCTTTTCATTTGGAAATGGGGAGGGGGGTCCCAGATAGGGCACTCGATTATTGTTGGTGACTGTTGATATTTCTCCATTAGAGGTCGTTTCAGGCATGTTGGTAGGGAAAATGTAGGTTTGTGTGTTTGGGTGGGGAATTGGGTTGTTAGTGGTACCCTTGGTGGAATGTCCGTTTAGGGAAAAGGGATCGGCCCCATTGGGTGTTTCTCCAGTCTCGAGGATTGTGGTCTTGGGAGTTGGGCTAGAGGCCCCTTGGACGTTGGGCTCATGATTGGGGTTAGTGGGGTTGTCAGACGTTAGCCCCACTTTCCTTTTGGCACCTGTACTTGGCTACGTCCGTGGGCCTATTTTCTGACCATATTAGGGCAGATCTTGTGTGTTAGTGGAGTTTTTATTTGGGTCATTGGGCCTCTTTTGGTATTTTGGGCGGGGTATACTTTTTTTGAATTATAACGAAGAGTTTGAGTTTGGAGAAATTTACCTGAATTGGCATCGAACAAATATACTTGTATCTCTTCCGTCTGTGGAGCATGTTGTGGTTTATTCGTTCTACCTTCATTTTTTGCTTGTTGTTTTTGCTTGTCCCTTCTTGCATCTTCTTGGGAATGTGACAGTTTTCCACTCACTTTCCTCAGAAATGACTGCTTTCTTTTGATGATCATCCTGTGGTTCGTGGGTTATTGTGGGTGTGGGTGCCCTATAGTTGCAGATTTGTGCAGTGTGCCCTATTCATCCACAAATGGTGCATAGAGTCCCCTCTCCTTCATAGATCACAGCCTGCTTATGGTCTCCTATTATTACTGATGTTTCTACTGGGGTTTCCAGTGGAACTTGAATACAAATACGGGCATATCTTCCCCTTAGGGTAGAGGATGTATATTGGTCTATCTTGAGAAGTTTACCCAGCTTTCTACCAACTTTCTCCGGGATATCCTGGTCATAGAACTCTGTTGGTAGTTGAGGTAGCAGGATCCATATGGCAGTAAAAGTAAGAGTGTCTTCTTGAGGAACAAACTTTGGTTCCCATTTATGTACGGATAGGAAATTTTCAGACATGAACCAGGGGCCTAGGTGTAGAGCCTTAACCATACTTTCTTCTAAACTAAATTTAACTATGTAGAAGTGCCACCCTAGGTCAATCAAGATTAACTGTTCGGATGGCTTCCATAAGTCGTTTAGTTTAGATCTAAGGAGATGGTGAGGCATCTTTCGCTTGAAAACTTTGATAATCATCGAGTAACGCCATAGCGCTCTTTGTCATTTTGTGAGAGTGGAATTGATGTGCTTCCCTTTGTCCAGATCTAGAATTGGCTGGTGGTCGATTTCATAGTAATTTGTTTAGTTGCTCACTGGTTTGTCCAAGAGCATTTACTTATAGAAGTGATGAGGTAATTTTACCTCCATTTAGTTGTGCTTATCTGGGGGTTCCGATGGGAGTGGTGGCTTGATCGAAGGGGGATCCATAGTATGGGAATAGTACTTCCAAGCTAACAGTAGATAGAGAGGCTAAGTTGGGACTCAATTTCGTATTGAAGATTTTATAATAGTTATTATAGAGCTCCTTGTGCAATACATCTATTGTTCGATATTCATTTGCACAAAAGGAGGGCATTTTGTGGTTCCTAGTTAGAGACAGAAGAGAAATTGGTTTGTGTTATTGATAATTGCACGTTTTTCCTTTTACCATTCATCTTGGTCTTTCTTTCCTTAAACCACCATTTCCAACTATAATGGTAATTTAATTGGGGGAAATGAAATAAAGGGAAAATTTAGTCATTGTAGGTCCTACTATCATTTTCAAGACCAGAGGGACCAGATAGTGACATGTCTTTTAATAGGCAACACTTATCGCTTGTGATAATTATCGGCAGACCATTCCCTTTATTTCCTTTTCACGTGCAACCAATTTGAACATTATTTATTTTATTTTTTTCAACAAACTTTATTTCTTTCAATTGAGTAACTTTTTAACACTTATCCGGGCATCTCCAACCCTGCATCATTTTTTTACAGCAAAATGGTGTTGTGACAACCCAGCCAATTATCTTAAAAATTAACGCCTCGATCCTTATTAACTGCTTTTCTCCTGTTTGCTTCCGCTATTTTGATTTGTCAGGATGTTCGATTTTGAGTTTCGGAAAGTTTTGGGATATTTAGTCCCTAAATGAGAGCTCAAGTTTTGGAAATTTGACTGTAGTCGGAACAATGTGAAGACGGCCTCGGAATGGAATTCTGATAGTTCCGTTAGCTTCATTGGGTGATTTCGGGCTTAGGGGCATGTTCGGATTGTGTTTTGGAGGTCCGTAGCTAATTTAGGCTTGAAATGCCGAAAGTCGAATTTTGAAGTTTCCGGTTAGATAGCGAGATTTTGATCCGAGGGTCGGAATGAAATTCCGGAAGTTGGAGTAGCTCCATAGTATTGAATGTGACGTGTGTGCAAAATTTTAGGTCATTCGGATGAGGTTTGATAGACTTTTTGATCGAAAGCATAAATTTAGAGTTTTGGAGTTCTTAGGCTTGAATCCGTGGTTGATTCGTCGTTTCGATGCTGTTTTAGCTGTTCTAAAGATTGGTATAAGTTTGGACAGTGGTATTAGACTTGTTTTTGTTTTTGGTTGAGGTCCCGTGGGCCTCAGGATGATTTCGGATGGTTAATGGAAAGTTTGGAGTTGGAATTTGCAGTTGAAGCTGCTGAGTCTGCTGTCATAACCGCACCTGCGGCTTGGGGACCGCAGGTATGACCCCGCAGAAGTGAAATGAGAGCCGCAGATGAGGAAAAGAGGAAGAAGGACTGGAGTCGCAGATGCGGGTGTGTAGCCGCACCTGCGAGGCCGCAGGTGCGGGAAGAGTATCGCAAAAGCGGAAAGGCGATTTAAATGAGAAGTCGCAGATGCGACCTTGTCTCCACAAAAGCGGGACTGCAGGTGGGGTCCCATGACCGCAGAAGCGAATTAGCTAGGCAGAACATATAAATAGTGTCCTTCGTGAATTTGAGTTATTTTCACCTCTTTTCAAACGGGAAGAAGCCTTGGGGAGCATTTTCAAGGGAGATTTTCAGAGGAATTCATTGGGGCAAGGCCTTTGGTCCTTAAACTCGTTATGGAGGTGATTTTTATCATTATAATCATGAAAATTTAAGAAAAATCAGTGGTAATTTGGGGGTTAGTGCTTGATTAATTAGAGACCTTTGAGTGATGATTTGAGGGACCATTTGAGGTCCGATTTTGGTACTTTTGGTATGAATGAACTCGTGAGAGTATGAGGATTCTAAAAATTTAAATTTTACCCGATTCCGAGACGAGGGTCCGATGGACATTTTGGTCATTTTACCTAATTTCGCGTATTAGCTTAGAATTTCTTTATAAAATCAGTTATTTGAAGTGTTATTTACATTATGAAATTAAATTGAATAGATTTTGGATATTTGGAGTCGAGTACTCGTGGCAAGAGCATGATTTCGGATTGATTTGAGCTGGTTCGAGGTAAGTGGCTTGCCTAACCTTGTGTGGGGGACATTTCCCTTAGAATTTGGTATTTGTGGTAATTGAAATACCTTGTATGTGAGGTGATGAGTGCGTACTTGTGGTAGTTGTTGAAAATGATATTTTCACTAGAGTAGCTTTAATTGTGTTTTCCTTTCCTGCTTATTCTACTTGAAATTTAAGCCTGCTGTTAGCTTAGAGAAGCATGTTTAATTGACTTAATTGCCTTATTGCTTGAACTGCCTTATTTGAATTATGTGAAGCATGTTAGGTTAGAATTACCTGCTTTACTTTGGTACGAAATTGAGTTTAGTTGAGTATTCTTTGTGTTATGGTTGTGTGTTTTACTTTGGGACTATGGGATGGCATCCCGGGAGATCTCCTGTACGTATTTCATGATTTGAGTTGAGGTGCGGGATACCGAGAGATCCCCAACACGTATATTGAGGATACTAAGAGATCTCTAGCATATATTGAGGATA